ACCTGATTTTTAGTGATGACACCACCAGATGTCTAGTGATGACACCACCAGATGTCTAGTGATGACACCACCAGATGTCTAGTGATGACACCACCTGATGTCTAGTGATGACACCACTAGATGTCTAGTGATGACACCACCTGATGTCCAGTGATGACACCATCTGATGTCTAGTGATGACTCCACTAGATGTCTAGTGATGACACCACCAGATGTTTAGTGATGACACCACCTGATGTCTAGTGATGACACCACCAGATGTCTAGTGATGACACCAGCAGGTGTCTAGTGATGACAACACCTGATGTCTAGTGATGACACCACCTGATGTCCAGTGATGACACCACCTGATGTCTAGTGATGACATCACCTGATGTCTAGTGATGACACCACTAGATGTCTAGTGATGACACCACCTGATGTCTAGTGATGACAACACCTGATGTCTAGTGATGACACCACCAGATGTCTAGTGATGACAACACCTGATGTCTAGTGATATCAGCGGTAAATACACAGTACAGGATATGATCGGTAAATACACAGTACAGGATATCCACTGTAAATACACAGTACAGGATATCCACTGTAAATACACAGTACAGGATATCCACGGTAAATACACAGTACAGGTTATCCGCTGTAAATACACAGTACAGGATATCCACGGTAAATACACAGTACATGATATCCACGGTAAATACACAATACAGGATACCAGCGGTAAATACACAGTACAGGATAGCCGCTGTAAATACACAGTACAGCATATCTGCGGTAAATACACAGTACAGGATAGCCACTGTAAATACACAGTACAGGATATACACGGTAAATACACAGTACAGGATATCCACGGTAAATACACAATACAGGATATCCGCGGTAAATACACAGTACAGGATATCCACTGTAAATACACAGTACAGGATATCCGCTGTAAATACACAGTACAGGATATCTGCGGTAAATACACAGTACAGGATATCCACGGTAAATACACAGTACAGGATATCCACGGTAAATACACAGTACAGGATATCCACGGTAAATACACAGTACAGGATATCCACGGTAAATACACAGTACAGGATATCCACTGTAAATACACAGTACAGGATATCCACGGTAAATACACAGTACAGGATATCCACTGTAAATACACAGTACAGGATATCCACATTCCCAGGGATTAATAACATCAAGGACAAGATCATACACAAAAGTCTTTTAATATTTAACAAACAGTAAAATAAAGAATATATTGATTATCATATATTAAAGATATTCCAGTAAATTCCTCTCATACATCTTATAGTGAAGTTTCATAATAGGCCCTCCTAGCAGTGATTTGATCAACAATCTAAGCTACATGTATAGGCTTTAACTTCATAGTGTGGATATTTTTTGTACTCATCTTGATGTCTTCCATGCTTTACTGTCGTTGTATGTAGTATTTGATATAATATGATTTCCTTTATTTAGACCTGTATATAAACCTGTATTTAGAGACCACCTTTCTGAAGCCCATAATGTGGTGTCTTAACACAGGTGGTCTCTTAACACAGGTGGTGTCTTAACACAGGTGGTCTCTTAATACAGGTTAATTAAATAAAATTAAAGAAATTGACACAAAGAAGAATATTTAAAGTGGTCACATATTGTCTCTTAATAGAGGTGACTCCTTGAGCACATTTGACATTCATTATAACACTTCCTGACTTTTTTACAACAACCCCCCCTCCAAACACATTTTGACCACTGACATTTAAATAGCACCTACTAACTTCCAGTTTTTTCTGTGACTTATTACGAACTTGGAAATTTAAATCGCAAGGCCCATCTTTTCTATCACTTTCTCTGACCTCTTTTGACCTCTGACAATAAATAATACATTCTGCCTTCCGTCACGAATTGATATTCACATCACACTTCCATGATCACGAATCTTTCTCTCGACCTCTCTCAAGAACCAATGAAGTGTTGACATTTAGAACTCTTGAGATCTCTCCCCTTACTGGTACTGAAAGGTTTTCAGCAAGTTTTCTCGCAAATCTTGTCCCCTCATAAATCGTTGGGACTAAACTCCTCCCCCATCATCTCATTGGCAGCCTCTCTCTCGGCCGTAACTCCCACAAGCTCCGCCTCCTGTTCCAGCTGGGCATGTTCACACTCGTACTTGTCCATAATGGCTGTGATGAGCTGGCACCGTGAGGCTCCACATGTACAGGGTACAGGGTGGTTAGAACTCTCCTCATCATCTCCTGTGTCAAAGTCATCCTCGCTCTCCTCGTCCTTATCAACCATCTCCAAGGAGATATTGTATTGTCTCTTATTTTTCTGGTCCTGACTTAGCTCAAGTTTACATGTGATTGTCTCCCCTTCCTGGACAGAGAAGGCAGATGGTAAGAAGAACACAGTTTGTTTCCAGTGTGTAGGGGAGGAGCCAGGGGCTGTAGACAGAGTCACAGATGTACAGCTGTTCTGGGGAGATGTTCCCGCTGGACCTTGAAAGTCCACATCAAACCATGCAGCAAACCCATGCACAGTGCTATCTGTTAGAATCTTATAACTGAGTTTGGCATACATCTGTTCAATATCATACAGTGTCGTTTCGTACAAATTCAGATCCACCACTGTTTGAGGTTCAGCAAGCTGTTCGTCTGTGGATAATGTTGTGATAACAGGTTGCTGAATGGCATTCATCATGGCAGTAGATTTCAGGGGCGATAAGTCATACCCATAAACATTGTCCCAAAACTGAAAATGGTCCCAGATGTAGTCATCCATAGAAACAGGCATCATATACAGAGTGGCAACTGATGGCAACATGAGACCACTAGGAGCCAGCCATCGGTCACGAGCCACAATCACAGAGTCAAGCATAGACTCGTGGAACAGATAGAATCCCATCCACTCGGAGATAATTATATCCACCTTATTCACAGGTAGATCGACACTTTCCACACGGCCATGGATCACCACTATACGATCTTTTAAGTTATTTTGTTCCACAATCTTCTCACAAGCACTTGCCATTCCACTTGCCTCCACAGCATAGACAATTTTAGCACCGGCAGAGGCAGCAAAAAGGGAGAGAATGCCTGTCCCCGCCCCAACATCCAGCACAGTCTTGTCTTTAAACAGGTGCGAGTTTTTCTCGATGAAACCTTTATATGCAAGTGTGCGAGGCTTGTCTTTTAGCATGAGCTCATGTACGCCCAGGTCACCGTAACTTGTAAAGTAGGCGGAGTTACTGACCCTGCCTGCAGTGGCTTCCTCAGGCGACTCATTGGTGTCTGAAGTGTTCATCCTTCCAGTTCCTCAGTGTGCCTAGAAGTTCATTTGATCTGCAAATTGAACAATAAAGAAGTATGACATTTCATCCTCAATCATATAGTCAACAATTCACTGGCCAATAATTAACAGACAGTTCATCCTCAATCATATAGTCAACAATCACTGGCCAATAATTAACAGACAGTTTATCCTCAATCATATAGTCAACAATTCACTGGCCAATAATTAACAGACACAGTTCCTGTTCATATGTACTTTTGATGTCTTTGCACTATAACAGACTTACTCCTTTGTTAGATCTGTCCCCTATACATGTAGCTTCTCTAGAATAATATGGAATTAATTAGAAAAAAAATCAACTCTCATAATTTTGATCACTTGGATATCCAATTCTTGTTCTCAAACTAGGGGAGATAAGCTAGTAGTAAAATACAGCTGGATTTGTGTTTGTTTGTGCATTATGTCCAATTACCAGCTTTGGTCTTTTAAGGACGTGCCAGGTTTTGGTGGTGGAGGAAAGCCAGAGCTCACAGAGAAAAACCACCGACCTATGGCTAGTACCAGGCGACTGCCCCACGTAGGTCTCGAACCCGCAACCCAGTGGTGGAGGGATAATGGTAGCAGAATGTCAGATGCCTTCACCACTTGGCCACCTAACACACACACACCCCCCCCCCCCCCCCTTATCCAGCGGGGAAAATTTTTTTTTTTTTTTAAAAAAATTGGGGGGGGGGGGGGGGTCTGGTAGCCAGTCTTACTTGTTTTGATATGCATTTATAATTTGTTATGATAGACATCTGCTGTAAATGTATTAACTTGTGTGTAGTTGTACCTCATTTTATTATTTAGTGAATTATGTTGAAAGATAGCCTGACTTTACTAGTTTCAAGAATTTCTACTTCTACTTCTAAATGGCAATGACTAACTTCAACAATTTATTTTTATTTTTAAATTAAGAGTAAAAAAGGAGTTAAAGATTTGTATAACTATATTATTGCTCCAGCTTCAACACCTACAGGGATCAATAAATGGAACCATGAGTTTGACTTTGATAATGAAAAATGGACAAAAAAAATCATAATTCCTTTTACAGTAACAAAAAAATGCAAAATTATGGTTCCAAGTCAGAATTTTACATCACATTTTGGCTACAAACACCTTTCTGTTTAAAATTAACTTAACCCCTAGTCTGTTATGTACTTTGTGTAGTATAGAACATGGAACAATAATTCATTGTCTTCGGGAATGTCGAGAAATGCAGAAATTACTGCAGAGATTTGAAACTCTGCTGGATCTTTTTTTTTATCCTGTTTTCATTTAATAAGGAATCCTTCCTTTTTGGAATAGTTTCACACCTTTCTAGCTTTGTTGATAATGAAATTTTAATTCTTATCAAGCATTATATATACAAGACTAGATGTCTCTGCAAATCCTTAAATCTCAATGCACTAATTAATGTTATTAAAGATCATTTCATTGTTCAAAACTATATTAATAACGGTAAAAGTGAGCACGTCAAAATGAAATTTGAAACAGGTTGGAGAAAATGGAAACCTATTATAGATATATAGCTGTTTTGTTAAATTATTTTTCCTGTGTTTTGAATTTTTTTTGTATACTATATATATCCAAGGCCTGATTAAGTCACTGGCTATTTAAGCATATACAATTTTTACATATAAGATTGCCTCCCCTACCTCTCTCTTCTCTCTCTTCCTTTCTTTTTCTCTCTCTCTCTAAACTTATACTACTGATTTTACTCTTATATAAGTATATTATGTAGGTTTGATGTACACAACAGATAGTATACTATTAGTTATGGTTCTTAAGTAAGAGAGTGATGTGTGTATTAACCTGTGTAATGGATAGGTATCTGAGAGTTTGTTATGGTGTGTTGTGTGGTTGATGGTGTGTGTGTGTATGGGTGTGTAAAAGATGAATTATATAGATACAGCTAGGTATGAGGCATATGAGTGTCAATATATATAGACAGCTGACTCCATACTAGTCTTATGTGTATACATGTGTGTTTATATATTGTACATATTCATGTATGTACAATTAAATGGCTATTATTGAACATGTATACAGTGCAGTAACATGTATTAGTGTCCACAATGTGAATAAATCAGTGATCAAATGATCATGTACACATTGTGATATGTGTGTGTGTGTTGGTGAACAGTGATACATATACTATGCTAGGCTTGGAAGTTTGAACTATTCCTCTTAGCGCATATCATCTAGGGGTAGGAGAATGAGGAAATGTTTTAATAAATAAATATGCAGAATATGATGGTTGTATAATGTAAACCTGACCTGCATGTGTAGATTATTAAGTTGTCTTGTGCTAGCATGTATGCTCTGTAAGTTTGAATACCGTATGTGTGTTTCTTTTCATGATTATATGTATTATGAAAAAATCGTCGCAAAATAAACAATTTCAAAAAAAAAAGTTGAAGATAATGTCATGAGGTAGAAAGAGATTTAGTCGATTCCTAGAAGGCCAAAATCTATATAGATTTAATTTTGAGGGTACAGTGACAGGAGAGCAGATTTAAAAGGTTCAGTAGTAGAACAGGAGGATATGATATCTGGTGGGATCTTATTCCACTCAGATATTGATCGTGGAAAAAAGGATTGTTTTCTGACCTGGGTTCTGCGGTGTGGTATTTGGAAGGATTGGTGATGGGTATGCCTTGATTGCCTGGTTGCTGGTATAAGTATAGTGTGTTTACTAATAGCTACCTGATTGTTCACAATTTTGAACATCATACATTGCAGTCTTGTGTCTCTGAGAATGACCTAATGTTTCACTTTATTCCCCAGTTAAATACTAAAACAGTAACTATTATCCAAATGCAGGATTGTTACCCACACGAGTGGTTGTGCATACTACAGAAATGCACCGGTGCTTCCTTTATTGTTATTACAGTGAATCTGATCCGTCAAAACAGGCGATGCTCGAAGGGTTACAGAGAAAAACATGTTTATATAATATATTTATGATGTCATGTCTTACTTACGTTGAACGTTTCTAATTTCTTGATTGTTAAGATATTAAACTTCAGAATTTAACTGGAAGCACTAATGAGTAGTTGCAGGTTTCTCTTTCTGCATGCGTACACAAAACTTTTACAAGTACGCATGAAATCCGGCCACATGTGTAAGTAACCGGAAGTACAAGATGGAATATAACACAGGATAACTGAAACCGACGATTCACTTAAAATTCCGCAAAACATTTTTTTGTGCGTGTGTGATTTTTTTCAAGTTTAGATTATCGGAACTTCCTAGAGTCATAGAAACGTTAATCTAAAATTAAAAAAGAAAAATGTCTGATAATCTAAAATATTGTGTGTGTGTGTCATGTTCATCTTTCAAGATACAAGGTGGTAGACTCTGCTGTTGGATTATGTAGTCCCCGAGGTTAACTGTTCATTCTCTTAATTGGTACGATTCATAATATACAAACTTAACATATATTTACATGGAATTAACCAGTAACACGGATAGTATTTGTCAAAAGTACGCACCCGTGCTAGAACATCACCGACGAGTACTAGAAGGACGAAACAGCTGAATGATGCAGTTCTATAACAACATTTAAAGGTGAAAACACATGTGTGTATGGGTGTATGTTACGTTCGTCTTTCAGAGGCGTATGTAGATTAGATAATATATATACGTCTCTGTAAGTTTTAAAAGGATCGGACTTTAAGATGCAGGAAACGCAGCTATGATATACATCCCTTCTATGATCTTATGCTTCGTTTCTGAAAGCTTTTAACAGAAAAATATGCGATCGACATATGTTCTTGCATAAGTTAAATTAAGAATTAAGTTAACAAACAGTACATGTAACTATCGGCGGTCAAAGTAAACAAGGGATATACTTGACCGAGTTTGATGAAATTGTGAAAAACCGTACTAGATAAAATCCCGTACTACGTTTACCAAAACAAAATTGATCTACTTCATCATATTGAAGATTATGTCAATGATCTAGATACTAGAATACTAGAGATACTAGCTAGCAATGACGTACAATGTATCTTCGAGTCAGATTTATGTTTAAAGGGAGATGATTTTTTTTTATCGGGAACATCTTGTCTGAAATTCTAGATGTCTGATTTATATTTATTCTCTGTCTTCCATCTCCTGTTTGTTGTTATAATTTTTTCCTAACAGACGTCGGTATTTTTGTAGTTGTATGAAGAACCTTGGAGGCCGACAAAGCTCACCGGGACTTGAGAATTTGGTACAGATATATTTGGACCTAGCCTAAGGCGTTTGGAGTAATTTTACACGTTTTACAGGTTAAGATCAACTTTCGGTAGAAAAACCACCCATAAAAAAAACGTTACACGTGAAAAATTACGCTAAACACTTTTGTCTAGGTGCAAATATATCTGTAACAAATTCTCAGGCAAAACGAACTGAAGACATGAAACACCAATGTTTAAAGAAATAATTTCATGATTATCATCTTTGATCTAACTTTTATCATATAACACCATCAGTTTGACAGTTATCACTTGCATTACGGGTTCTTTGTTACATTACCAAGATAATAATACAGAATGTGCGACGTCCCCAGATCTACCCGCTCATCCGTGGTCGCTTACAACAATGGCGCTCTGTGCATTAACGTAAACAGTCTGGAGGACGATACACAAAACAAGTACGTCTAGAATACATAATTACGAACGTGTTATATTGTAAAGTGACACAACTAAATTTCGTAGTATCGTCATGTATTACTAGATTGCTGGCATTAAAACGTCTAAGAGATATAAAATTGAGTCAGATTACGATTGAAGCTTTAATCGGTCAAAAAACGATCACGCTTGCTCAAGGACACGAGAGGGCAAAGTTTGGTTGAAATCAGCATGGCGAAACTTGAATATACCCCAATCGTCACAACTCGGCAGAGTCCGTACCTTGATGAAGGGTACCGTAATCAGCCGAGATTAGTCGAATGGTATCGACCCATCAGGGGTCATGATGAACCTTCTGTATGTGGAAAGTATCAACATTTCAAGTCGTACAGGTGATGAAAGGAGCCTCTTTACATAAGCATTGTTGAGTGAGAGCTTAATGGAACATTGAAAATCACAAGAAAATCCTCATCACATGTATTTAGATTGGATGCCTAAATGACCTTGGCCGATGAAGCCGATTCTGATTACTTGTGTAACAGAAGATGGAAATATGCACAACTAGACCAAGGTTCGAACCTGGAACCCATCGAACTCTAGGCAGATGCTCTACCAATTGATCGAGCAACCTGGTCGCCGACGATCGACCCAGTCCAGTTCCGTTACATTCCGCCCTCCTTTTTCAAAGTCTTCACCCTGAAGACACAGCTATGTACAGCCCAGAAACCAACAAGTCAAAGGATAAATATAAAAAGTCTGGGGGGGTTATCACTAGAAGTCGCTTTTAAAATAGTGCTTTCCGATATAAACAATGTTGAACTTTGTCCCATATCTTTAACCCAGTACTTTCACTTAAAACGATTAATTTAAAAAAAGTACGCAGTGGTGGTCTCTATAATTATATCAAAGTATCTATTCAGCATCTGAAAAAAGATACTTGCGACATTACCCCACTAGGACTTTTACGGTGACATGTACGAAGGGAAGTAACTCAAACTGATACTTAAATACTTGGGAGTGTTCACTTCTAAAATGCATATTGAAAAAATATGCATTGAAATACAAGCTAGAAAATAATTTCATGGTTAAAAAAACTCGAAACATATACTTTTGATATCGAATTCTGGCGCCCGCTGTACAATTACAAGATACAACGAGTATAACGAGATATATAAAGTCATGTAGTATAACGAAAGTGTCCCGGCTCAGAGATAGTATAAAGTCATGTAGTATAACGAAAATGTCACGGCTCAGAGATATATACAGTCATGTAGTATAAAGAAAGTGTCCCGGCTCAGAGATATATAAAGTCATGTAGTATAACGAAAGTTTCCCGGCTCAGAGATATATTAAGTCATGTAGTATAACGAAAGTATCCCGGCTCAGAGATATATAAAGTTATGAAGTATAACGAAAGTGTCCCGGCTCAGAGATATATAAAGTCATGTAGTATAACGAAAGTGTCCCGGCTCAGAGATATATAAAGTCATGTAGTATAACGAAAGTGTCCCGGCTCAGAGATAGTATAAAGTCATGTAGTATAACGAAAATGTCACGGCTCAGAGATATATACAGTCATGTAGTATAAAGAAAGTGTCCCGGCTCAGAGATATATAAAGTCATGTAGTATAACGAAAGTGTCCCGGCTTAAAGATAGTATAAAGTCATGTAGTATAACGAAAGTGTCCCGGCTCAGAGATAGTATAAAGTCATGTAGTATAACGAAAGTGTCCCGGCTCAGAGATATATAAAGTCATGTAGTATAAAGAAAGTGTTGCGGCTCAGAGATATATAAAGTCATGTAGTATAACGACATTGAGGGGAGGTAACTTTATGTATACGATATAAAAAAAACAACAGTGGTGTTTTCTAGTGTTTCGTCTACAGCGGGACAGGGATCCTTAATGAACACATCTAAGAACTTACAGTGAACAAAGGCTACAATACAGTTCGTCTCCCACGTTCAGCGACAATCTCAATCAGGAACCGTCGGCACTTTCCGTAAACGAGAAATTTTCTCGTTTACGGAACGTGCCGACGGTTCCCGATTGCGACAATCTTCGTTCCTTACACTCGGATTCGGGTCTAACGGCCACTGCTGATGACGAGGATATGGCAGCCCTGATTTGTTTTGACGGAAGCTCTGACGCGTTCCTGATAAATTAAATATATCCGCATTATAGTTTCACATTGACAGATATCGCTGAATAAAGACGGAAGTTTATTTTAACTTTACTCCCGGACGGAAACCGATTGTGACAATCTCTGCCCAGAGGTGTCGTTCCTTACACTCGGAATCGGGTCTAACGGCCACTGCTGATGACAAGGATATGACAGCCCTGATTTGTTTTGACGAAAGCTCTGACGCGTTCCTGATAAATTGAATATATCCGCATTATAGTTTCACATTGACAGATATCGCTGAATAAAGACGGAAGTTTCTTTTAACTTTACTCACGGACGGAAATCGTCGCAATAGAAATCCTGTTAATAGCACACTGAGTGGTATGGAAACCTATGTAAACGTTAAGAAATCATTTATGTAGCGCCCTATTTAATTTGTAAAAATACTTTAAAGCACTTTTACAACATATAGATAATAGTAATAGTTATAATTGTGAAACAAAAACAAAGGCTTACAATCACTTGTATACATGTAAGCAAGCAATGTGCACATAATTGAACAAATAAAAGGGGGTATTTACATGACGTCTTTGCAGAGACCCTAAAATGCAGACGTAGAGAGGTGAGTTTTGATGTCCCTCTTGAACTTGGCCAGGGTATTTGACTTTCTATTGGCAGATGAGAAGCTATTCCACAACGTGGCCGAAACCCTCTCAAAGCACCGGTTTCCATAGGTCACAGTACGAGATTTTGGGACACACAACAATGATTCTGACTCCGACCGCAGTCATCGTGATGGCTGATACAAGGTAACAAGCTCCTTTAGGCACTGAGGAGCTGTTCCAGCGCCTTGTATGTTTACACCAAAAGTTTGTACTGCGACCTGTATCGTACTGTGCTCTCTCTTTCGAGTACAAGTAACCAGCCGTGCTGCAGTTCTCTCGACCCTCTGCAGACGACTTATTAGTTTTTCAGATATATCACAGAGCAGGGCGTTACCATAATCCAACCGAGAGGTAACAAGTGTTCAGTTATAAACTGCCGAATACAGCCGATGTTCCTGATCTGGTAGTAACAAGATTTGACAATAGCGTTCACTTGTTTCTCCATTTTCAGTGAACTATCAAAGTATACCCCTAGGTTTTGAACAGCTGGGACAGTCTCAATAGTTCTGGCACCAACCTTGAGCTGGAGAGCCATTGCTTGCCTACACTAAATAAAATTGCCGCTGGATATTGAACTTTGAACAAGCATTTTAAGCATCATTTGGCCCAAATACGATTTTTAAGGTATACATTCAATCATGTTTCATTGTTTTGTTAATGTGAAGATAGATATTTCGAATTTAAACGTCACTTAAAGTTTGATTGATCGATATAGTTGAGCCGTTCTGTATCCTTGCCAACCTGACCTAAAAAAAAAAAGACTTTATTTTTAGGAAAGTCGTGTCCTAGTGACCAATTTATTATATATCAAGAGTTTTCTACATGGAAATCTTCAATCTACGCAGTTGACATTCATTTCTTCTTTGATTGTCTGGCGGTAATTCCGACTTGATTTACATTCACGATAATTTAATCTCTGTCATGATTGAAAACATATTCACCGTGTATAAGAAACGTTGATGACCTACGTACTTTTCCGACATTTCAAGGGGTGGCTACGTGTGGTGCAGGAACCGCTCATGCTTCCGGAACGTTTGGGACATGTTCGTTTATGTGGTACAACCGGTTTGTCGTTTTTAAATGTAAACTTTTCGGATATAATCCGTGTCAGACCTGCAAATGTGTATGAAGGCCTTGCTTAGCTTCGTCAAGGCTCGCCTGAAAGCAGCATTAGACCATAGGTCTGACCTTATTTCATAAACGAACAATTCTGGTCCAACCAGTTCAACCGTTTGGATCGCGATAATCAAAAGCGGCCCCTGTATCGCTTTCGGATCATGTTATTGTCCGGGTTTATTCCCATTTGTTTTGATGTATACTTAGTTATCTGTAACATTTTGTAAAGACTTTGTGTGAAATCACATTAAATCCCCGAGTAATCGTGAGTGATCCTTTAACATGATTCTAGTCGATTCGTTAACAATTCCCACTAATTGTTAACGAATAAGCATACACACAATAATAACAATATAGCAATTGCTTACACTATGTGTACACACACCGCTGACTAAACTCCTCAGGTCTACACGGATTGTTTAATGAAATGAATACGCGGATCGAATGCCATTTAACCTGAAATTATCAGAGGGCAGAATGGCTTCCCCCATTGGATATTTTGGGGTTTAACTCTTTGTTGTTAAAATCTTATCTGCCAGTTTTGGTTCCAATAACATCTTCTTCATTTCTACAATTTAGCGTTATTACATTATCTTGTTGAGAGAAAGGTGTACGTATTAGTGTTTAAGTAAACTAGCTTTTTAATAATGAAATTTAAGTTTTAAGCTTACAGCTGATATGTGATTATCTTCCAAAACATAAAAGTGAACAAAAAACAAGAGGCCCAGAGGGCCTGTATCGCTCACCTGAATATGTTTAAAATAATTGGTATGAAGTAAAGATATAGCACTGGTAGGTGCTGTAAGTACTTGAAAAATATCGAGAACAAACCTCAAACAGAGCCCCACCCCTATGCCGCTAGCGGGGTCATACCCACCAATTATACAAAATTGAGTTCCCTTGACCCAAGGATGCTCCAGACTAAATAAGGATAAAATCCCTTAATCCCTATGGTAGAAGAAGGATTAAAAAGGTTACCTTTTGGGCCTCGCCCCTCAGGCCCCTGAGGAGCCAGACCCATGGTTTATACAAAATTGGTTACCCTTCACCCAAGGATGCTTCAGACCAAATATGAAACAAATCATTTATTCCTACAGAAGAAGAAGGATTTTAAAGAATAATTTGCGATGTTTCCCCACGGTTTATACAAAATTGGTTCCCCTTTCCCCACGGATGCTTAGACTAAATATGGAACAAATCCTTTCATTCCTACAGAAGAAGATCTAGAAGGATTTTAAAGAATTTGCTATATTTCCCCTATTGTGCCCCGCCCCTCAGCCCCCAGGGGGCCAGACCCACCACTTATACAAAATTTGTTCCCCTTCCCCCAAGGATGCTTCTGACCGAATTTGGTCAAAATCTGCTCAGTCATGGCTAGTAGCGTTTTAAACGACGGACGCCGGACGCTGCGGTATGGCATAAGATCACCATGGTCCTTCGAACCACGTTAGCTAATATAATGAGAGATATATATGCGGATTATTAAAGCACGTCACGCCTGACTGGTCACGGGTCCAAAGACGTCGGCACGGTTCTCGAGTGTTTTCCGCCTGACTGACAATTAGGTCTACATTATATATCACATACACATCCTGTTATCCTTAAATACATACTCTCCCAGTCGAAACTTAAAACCACTCCTGATCTCATCTCCAGAACGGACGTGTTTATAAATTTAAATAGGACCAGGAACAGTAAAATTGTTCTCCCGTGATTCTGACTGGCGGCCCATGACAGAAGCTGCTGTACGCTCGCGGCGTTCCGGGGACTGTCATTCAGTCTAAATTATTGACTGTTACAGGTTTACATCTGGCATTGTAGCTGCTGACCAAGGGACAGGTTGAGGCTGTAGCATGGATGATAACAACTGATATTGATCCGGACATCTAACGGTTGACCCTGACCGCGCTGCCAACCTTGACAATGGCTATCTGGCTCTCTGTGATACTCCTGGTAGTAGTGGTCAGTTTGTTTATCCAGTTCATTGGGGGAGGGGACCCCACCAACTACCCCCCGGGCCCTTTCGCATGGCCATTGGTGGGAAACCTCTTCAGCATTGTTGGAGGTAATGGATTTTACTCCAAGATCCTAGGACTACGGAGTGGCCATGGCGACATATTCCGTCTCCGACTCGGAGAAATGTCCATGATTGTGGTGTTCGGGCTGCAGAATGTACGTCAGGTTTTGGTGGAGAAAGGTGAAATCTTCAAAAACCGACCGAATTGGTTGTATATCCCAGCAAACGTCATAAAAAACCGGGGTAAGTCTATGACAGAGGCTTGTGAAACTGGAAAAAGGTGTAACTTTTGTCATTGTTTAATGTCAAATTTCGGTTGATATCATGATACAACTTATTTTCCTTTCTCTACAGATTAATGCACTTGTGTTTTCTCACTTTATAGATTCAACCAAATCCCATAAAAATAATTGCTGAATTTATGTTTAAAATACCTGTACAGCAAAATGTGCTTCAGTGCACTTGTAACACAATGTGAAATCAAGCACAGATTTTCTCCACAATTGTTTTGATAATAGTAAAAAGATACTGAAATATTTACCAATGTAAAAAATTGATACGAAATAATCTCATTATGATAATGACTTAGTGTGTACAGGCTTTTCAGCTTTTATTTGAACTGACCAAATGACATTTTTAACTGTCCGACTTTTGAAAAATTACATAAACTCTAAAAAGGTAATTTTGGCCTGCTGCCAGTTTTTTTTAATGAATATCCATAATCTACAGAAGCATGGCTTACCTGAAGTGTTTTGTGTGATGACTCTGTTTACTACCTGTTTGACTCCTGTTTTGACCTCTGTCTGTGTGACACATGTCTGACCTGTTTTGGCCTCTGTCTGTGTGACACATGTCTGACCTGGTTTGACCTCTGTCTGTGTGACACATGTCTGACCTGTTTTGACCCCTCTCCTTACGACACATGTCTGACCTGTTTTGACCCCTGTCCATGTGACACATGTCTGACCTGTTTTGACATCTGCCAGTATGACATGTCTGACCTGTTTTGACCTGTTTTGACACCTGCCAGTATGACACATGTCTGACCTGTTTTGGCATCTGTTCTTGTGACACATGTCTGACCTGTTTTGACATCTGCCAGTATGACACATGTCTGACATGTGTTGACATCTGCCAGTACGACACATGTCTGACCTGTTTTGACATCTGCCAGTATGACATGTCTGACCTGTTTTGACCTGTTTTGACACCTGCCAGTATGACACATGTCTGACCTGTTTTGACCTGTTTATGCACCTGTTCTTGTGACACATGTCTGACCTGTTTTGACCCCTCTCCTTGTGACACATGTCTGACCTGTTTTGACCTCTGCCGTGTAACACATGTCTTACCTGTTTTGACACCTGTCAGTATGACCTGTTTCGACCTCTGTCTGTGTGACACATGTCTGACCTGTTTTGGCCTCTGTCTGTGTGACTCATGTCTGACCTGTTTTGAAACCTGTTAGTATGACACATGGCTAACCTTTTTTGACCCCTGCCATGTGACACACGTCTTACCTCTGTCTGTATGACACATGTCTGACCTGTTTGACCTCTGTCTGTGTGACTCATGTCTGACCTGTTTTGAAACCTGTTAGTATGCCACATGTCTACCCTTTTTTGACCCCTGCCATGTGACACACGTCTTACCTCTGTCTGTATGACACATGTCTGAGCTGTTTTGACCTCTGTCTGTGTGACTCATGTCTGACCTGTTTTGAAACCTGTTAGTATGCCACATGTCTACCCTTTTTTGACCCCTGCCATGTGACACATGTCTTCCCTCTGTCTGTGTGACACATATCTGACCTGTTTTGACCTCTGTCTGTGTGGCTCATGTCTGACCTGTTTTGAAACCTGTTAGTATGCCACATGTCTACCCTTTTTTGACCCCTGCCATGTGACACATGTCTTACCTCTGTCTGTATGACACATGTCTGACCTGTTTTGACCTCTGTCTGTGTGACTCATGTCTGACCTGTTTTGAAACCTGTTAGTATGACACATGTCTAACCTTTTTTGACCCCTGCCATGTGTCACATGTCTTACTTCTGTCTGTGTGACACATATCTGAGCTGTTTTGACCTCTGTCTGTGTGACACATGTCTGCCGTGTTTTGACACCTGTCAGTATGACACTTGTCTGACCTGTTTTGGCATCTGTCTGTGTGACACATGTCTAACCTTTTTTGACCCCTGCCATTTGACACATGTCTTACCTCTGTCTGTATGACACATGTCTGGCCTGTTTTGACCTCTGTCTGTGTGACTAATGTCTGACCTGTTTTGAAACCTGTTAGTATGACCCATGTCTAACCTTTTTTGACCCCTGCCATTTGACACATGTCTTACCTCTGTCTGTATGACACATGTCTGACCTGTTTTGGCATCTGTTCTTGTGACACATGTCTGACCTGTTTTGACCCCTGCCAGTATGACACATGTCTGACCTGTTTTGACCTCTGTTTGTGTGACACATGTCTGACCTGTTTTGACCCCTGTCCATGTGACACATGTCTGACCTGTTTTGACCCCTGCCAGTATGACACATGTCTGACCTGTTTTGACATCTGCCAGTATGACATGTCTGACCTGTTTTGACCTGTTTTGACACCTGCCAGTATGACACTTGTCTGACCTGTTTTGACCTCTGTCTGGGTGACACATGTCTGACCTGTTTTGACCCCTGCCAGTATGACACATGTCTGACCTGTTTTGACCTCTGTTTGTGTGACACATGTCTGACCTGTTTTGACCCCTGTCCATGTGACACATGTCTGACCTGTTTTGACACCTGCCAGTATGACACATGTCTTTTGACCTCTGTCTGTGTGACACATGTCTGACCTGTTTTGACCCATGTTTGACACATTCGTGCCTTCTGTTTGACCACTGTTTTTTTCACATATTTGTCATTTGTATTTGATCTTTTGAACAAGAATCTTTTCCTCTTTGTTTTAACCTCTCTGTATGTGTTGTACATATATTTGTCTTCTGTTTGGCACATGTTGGAACTCTATTTTTGACTAGTGATTAGCTCAGTTTAACTATTTGACCTCTGTTTGACCTCTATTTTGACCAGTGTTTGACACATATTTGATCTCATGTTGACATGTGGGGCATCTGTAAGTTTGTGTTTTTGACCTAGGCCTATCTTTCTTGATGTGTACTGTAGTATCTATCCACAGTCATACCCTTTACCTACCTTGATGTGTACTGTAGTATCTAGCCACAGTCATACCCTTTACC